TCCTCCTATGTATTGTATGTCTCTATCATGTCCCCCCTCTCCTTCCTTTTTTCCAGCGTCGCTAGCTTCAGTTCCTTCAGGCGCTCTTCATACCCAATCCCTCGGAATTCTGGGACGAGCCTCGTCACAAACGTCTGAACTTTTTCCAGTTTCCTTATATGTTTCTTCAGGTGGGGGCTCATGATGGGGATGCATACTCTTAGATTGGTCTCATATAGGTAGTGTAAAGCGCTCTAAATGCTTCATTTCTGAAGTTTCTGAATGATGTTCCAATTTTTGCTAGCGTAGAGTACGCTGCTGATGTTATCCTATTTATATGTCCCTCAAGAGTTTGATCAGGTGTTACGTCCACTCCCAGGTCTCTTCCTCGAATCGTTACAGGAAGGAAGTTCCCCTTCATTGTGTACTGTCCCTTTGGTCTCCTGTCACCTTGTCCCATTTCCATAACTTTACACTTGCTTATGTTGAGCTCCAGTTGCCATTTCTCTGACCATCTCTGCACCTTGCTCAAGTCCTCTTGGAGGATCCTACAATCCTCATCTGTCACAACTCTCCTCATTAATTTCCCGTCAGCCACATTCTTCGACAAATAGGACTCAACTCCTGAAGACATGTCGTTTACGTATATTAGAAATAGAACTATCTTCTGTCTTGAAAATTGGTGTCATATTTGCCTTCTTCCAGTAACTGAGCAACTCTCCCTTCCTATACGACTCATTAAAGATTCTTGCCGGAGGAACGCTGAGGACCTGCGCTGCCTCTTTTAGTATCCACGGTGATATATTGTCTGGTATAACTTCTTTAGTTTTATCCGGTGTTGTCAGCTGTTTCATGACCTCCTCTGCTGTCAACTCTATATCTGCTAGTCTCTCATTTTGGGTCATCTCCCCTCTTTTAACAATCGGAGCTGCTCAGGCTCGGTTGGGAATACTCAATGGAAACTGGTATTCAGTACCTCGCAGATTTCCTTCTCGCTTTCTGTATATGTCCCCCTGTTTTCCTTAGTCTTGTCACTTGGTCAAGTGACTAAGACTAAGGAAAGTGACTTGGTCAATGTCGACTAAGACCTTCTGTTCGATGGTACCCATGTAGAAGTCACCAACATTTTCCTTCTTATATGACTATGTAGTAATTTAGGAAGGTTTTTGCTTTGATCGCAATGTCGTTCTCAGATTTTCTTTCCGATACTCTTCTTATATTAATGTATTCGTTCCTAGCTCTGTGCATACATTTCTGTTGTCCTCTGTACTTCTTCCACTCCCTCCTGCTTCTCATTTTTGCTTCCTGACACTGTCTATTAAATCATAAGTTATTATATCCCTTCATACTTTTCACCCCTTACTATTGATATGAAACTTGGAAACCAAAACAGGATGAAGCAGTGGGTTAGTTTCAGTGGACCGTCCACTATAGGATCGAGCGTCTTGGTGCGTTTGGTGGAGGGATCATCGTCCCAGTGGCGCCGGAGGCTTCCTCTGTTATGGCAACGTCGACTTTTGCCGATGGAGGTGAAAATGGCTGGATTTATATAGGACCTACGTCGTATGGGACAGCAGTTAATGCAATGTCGGATTTTGGTGTTGAGTTTGCCGGTGTTATGGCAATGGAAGCTCATGTCAATGACTTCCTCTGGTCGTGTTGATGTGCTGGCCTCGAGGGCCCTCAGCAACGGCAAAAGCTTCCTACGTTATCTATTACAAATTCTTAGTATATTGTGTCCATATGTTTTTTTTATAGGTGTATAATGTATATTGAATCTACGATGGGAACTGTGTTATTTGGAAGCGATCTTCATGGAGGTCACCAGGATCTGCAGTCTTCGAAAAATGAGCTTGTGGACGAGTCTTCTCAGTTTCGCTGTTATGTCTTCCATCTGTTTGTGTGTGAATGTTGCTGGATCTCTTCACTACTGGTGGTGAAGAGATCCAGCAGGTTGCCTGCGTGACTATATCAGAGTATTTCATATTTAAGAAAAGTATGACACCAGTTACCTAGGATATTTTTGGGGATAAGTGCAGGGATGTCGAACCGCCTAATTACCAAGCAATCATATCAGAAGCCACTAAACTCCTTATATGCATTTCATGTGGCTGTAAATTCAAGCTGATTCCGCTTGCGGATGCTGTCTTCCGCATCGTAGAGGACGTTTGATGTGTTCGGATGACCTGTGCGCATCTGAACCCAAATTGCCTTTCCGGGAAAAGTTTTTTTGCGGAACAGGAAAATGTTTGCGGAGAATTAGATCAAAGGATTAGCCCAGTTCCGGTCTAATCCTAATTAGTCTTACGTCGGCTCTGGTAAAGAGATCACCTTCTTCGTGGTGATCTCGAATCTTGATCTTCGAATCGTGATCTTCTTTGTGTCAAGGTTTTCTCCTCCCACTGACCGCAAAAAGATCATCTTCACTGCCTTGAAGAACTCTGGCGTCAACCTGATACTAGAATAACAGTACATATATTCTCTAGCAGTACTGCTACTTCTCTAGCAGTACTGCTACTTCGCTAGCAGTACTGCTACTTCTCTAGCAGTACTGCTACTTCTCTAGCAGTACTGCTACTTCGCTAGCAGTACTGCTACTTCTCTAGCAGTACTGCTACTTCTCTAGCAGTACTGCCACTTCTCTAGCAGTACTGCTACTTCTCTAGCAGTACTGCTACTTCTCTAGCAGTACTGCTACTTCGCTAGCAGTACTGCTACTTCTCTAGCAGTACTGCTACTTCTCTAGCAGTACTGCTACTTCGCTAGCAGTACTGCTACTTCTCTAGCAGTACTTCAATGCGTTTGGTGTTTCAGTGTATGAGGTTGTATAGTGCCATGCCATTTCTTAACGGGTTATTGGTCTCATGATGAGGTGATCTTCTATGAGGTGATCTTCTATGAGGTGATCTTCTATGAGGTGATCTTCTATGAGGTGATCTTCTATGAGGTGATCTTCTATGAGGTGATCTTCTATGGGGTGATCGTCTATGGAGTGATCTTCTATGGGGTGATCTTCTATGGGGTGATCTTCTATGGGGTGATCTTCTATGGGGTGATCGTCTATGGGGTGATCTTCTATGGGGTGATCTTCTATGGGGTGATCTTCTATGGGGGTGATCTTCTATGGGGTGATCTTCTATGGGGTGATCTTCTATGAGGTGATCTTCTATGGGGTGATCGTCTATGGAGTGATCTTCTATGGGGTGATCTTCTATGAGGTGATCTTCTATGGGGTGATCGTCTATGGAGTGATCTTCTATGGGGTGATCTTCTATGGGGTGATCTTCTATGAGGTGATCTTCTATGAGGTGATCTTCTATGGGGGTGATCTTCTATGGGGGTGATCTTCTATGGGGTGATCTTCTATGGGGGTGATCTTCTATGAGGTGATCTTCTATGGGGGTGATCTTCTATGGGGTGATCTTCTATGGGGGTGATCTTCTATGGGGTGATCTTCTATGGGGGGATCTTCTATGGGGTGATCTTCTATGGGGTGATCTTCTATGGGGTGATCGTCTATGAGGTGATCTTCTATGGGGGTGATCTATGGGGGTGATCTTCTATGGGGTGATCTTCTATGGGGTGATCTTCTATGGGGTGATCTTCTATGGGGTGATCGTCTATGGAGTGATCTTCTATGGGGGTGATCTTCTATGGGGTGATCTTCTATGGGGGTGATCTTCTATGGGGTGATCTTCTATGGGGGTGATCTTCTATGGGGTGATCGTCTATGGGGTGATCGTCTATGGAGTGATCTTCTATGGGGTGACCCTCTTTTAGGTGACTCTTTGATGTTTAATGAATCAATGTTGGAGTACTTTATAGGTGGGCCAGACCTCGTGTGCTTGTACACAGAGAGGGGTTACCTTGACAAATACCTCTCCAAACCACACCACTCCACACCAAGTCCCTCCAAACCACACCCCTCCTCCAAACCACACCCCTCCAAATCACACCCCTTCCAAACCAACCACACCCTCCAAACCACACCCTCTCCAAACCACACACACCCTCCAAACCACACCCTCTCCAAACCACACCCCTCTCCAAACCACACCCCTCTCCAAGCCACACCCCCTCCAAACCACACCCCTCTCCAAACCACACCCTCTCCAAACCACACCCCTCTCCAAACCACACCCTCTCCAAACCACACCCCCTCCAAACCACACACCCCTCTAAACCACCACCCCCCCTCTAAACCACACCCCCCTCTAAACCACACCCCCCTCCAAAACCACACCCCCTCCAAACCACACCCCCTCCAAACCACACCCCCTCCAACCCCACACCCCGCTCCAAACCACACCCCCCTCCAAACCACACAACCCCTCCAAACCACACCCCCCTCTAAACCACCCCCCCCTCCAAACCACACACCCCTCTAAACCACACCCCCCTCCAAACCACACACACCCTCCAAACCACACCCCCCTCTAACCACACCACCCCCCCTCTAAACCACACCCCCCATCCACACCACACCCCTCCCCCTCCAAACCACACACCCTCCAAACCACACACCCCTCCAAACCACACCTCCTCCAAACCATTACATATAACAGATCTCCAACTTATTATTCCCCACATCATTTCACTCAGCGCCCGACCTCACTACCCTGCCCCTTCTACCTAGAATTCTCAACGTTCTTCGCTATTCTAAATCTTCTACTATTCGTTCTTCTTCTACTCTACACCCCTCTATCCTACATCCCTCAACTCTCACTATCCCTCTACTCCACACCCATATGCCCATTCACATCCCTCTTCGCCCGAGCCCCGGCTCTCAACTAATGGCATCTAAATTGCATTCTACTTTGTCCAGCACTTGTCCCATACACGTCATTCTACTTCACCTGCCTTCACGCTACTCCAGCCCCTCCACGCACACGTCCCTCCATCTAGTCCCCCTCCATCTAGTCCCCCTCCATCTAGCTCCCTCCAGTACATCGTGACAAATGATCTGGTCGTAAGGACTCCATCCAGGGAGAAATGTCAATCAAAAGGGAAGGTTGTCTCACCTGTGTGTGAGTGCGCTGTTTCCAGCTGACGCTGTGGCTGGAGGTGGCAGCAGGGTGGCAGAGGCGATGCTGGGTGGCAGTTGATGGCAGTGCCTCCAGTGGGTGGCAGGTGGTGGTGTCAGTGCCTCCAGTGGCTGGCAGGTGGTGGTGTCAGTGCCTCCAGTGGGTGGCAGCTGGTAGTGTCAGTGCCTCCAGTGGGTGGCAGGTGGTGGTGTCAGTGCCTCCAGTGGGTGGCAGGTGGTGGTGTCAGTGCCTCCAGTGGGTGGCAGCTGGCGGTGTCAGTGCCTCCAGTGGGTGGCAGCAGGTGGTGTCAGTGCCTCCAGTGGGTGGCAGGTGGTGGTTGTCAGTGCCTCCAGTGGGTGGCAGGTGGTGGTGTCAGTGCCTCCAGTGGGTGGCAGCTGGCGGTGTCAGTGCCTCCAGTGGGTGGCAGCAGGTGGTGTCAGTGCCTCCAGTGGGTGGCAGCTGGTGGTGTCAGTGCCTCCAGTGGGTGGCAGCTGGTGGTGTCAGTGCCTCCTGCCGCTGCCTGCCACTAGTGTGGTGCTCTTCCAACGTCTCTTTCTCCGCGGTGTCCCGCTAAGCTCCCGGTACCAGACTCGAAGCGGCGGTCACACATCCCTCTTATATGTTCCCCAATTTGCTTTCATTTCTAGACCAGGTGTCAAAAGGTTCTTCTCTTGTTGTTGTGAGAGGTGGTGAGAGAGGGGGGGTGAGAGGGGTGAGCGGGACACACACACACACACACACACGGACGATAAGTGGCGGGACACAAGGAGGACCAGAGAGAGAGAGGTCGGGAAGAAGTCTCGAACGCCGGCAAAGGCTCCGAGCGCGATCACTGCACAAGCCCAACTGAACACGCTAGCTAGCCATCGATCAAGTCCACCCCTCTGTGCGCGCGCTTACCACACAAGATGCACCACCACGCACGCACACACACGCACGCACTCATACACGCACACGCACATACCTCCACCGTCCCTCCCGTTGCAACTCCCATACAACTAGGTCAACTTTATGCCCTACAAATGGCATTAAACTAACTGACACTTCTTCACAGAAAACGCCCGAAGGCCTTGCTCGTTTTAGGTATGACTGAGGTAAAGGGGATAAGACCCAGACACTCTCTAGCAAACACACTCGAATTCACATTCGCGGGCAAGCCCTCTAAGGCAAGAGCTACCCAAGACCAACTTACACAAAGCCTTCCCCAAACATGCCGCCCCCTTCTCTTAACGGTCGAGATTCTCGGAGGCAGAAATGGAGCCTAGAGATGCAAATGAGGATGCTTGAGAGGAAAGGAGAGTGTGGAGAGGAGAATGGAGGAATAGTAAGAGGAGGAGGGAAGAGAATCACAGAGGGAAGGAAAGAGGATCGAGCATTTTTGCATATTATTGGAGCTTTATTACTTTTGTTGTACTTAGGTGGGTCTTTTATGTTGGAGAGTGGGGAGGAGCATATGAAGACTGTCTTTATCTCTCTCTCCTCTCCTCTCTCTCTCCCTCTCTCTCTCTCTTTTCTCTTTCTCCTCTCTCTCTCTCTCTCTGCTCTCTTCTCTCTCTCTCTCTCTCCCTCATCTCTCCTCTTCTTTCTCCCTCCTCTCTCTCTCTCTCTCTTCTCTCCTCTCTCTCTCTCCTTTCTCTCTTCTTCTCCTCTCCTCTCTCTCTTTCTCTCTCTCTCTCTCTTTTTCGCTCTCTCTCTCTCTCTCTCTCTCTCTCTCTCTCTCTCTCTCTCTCTTTCTCTCTCTCTCTCTCTCTCTCTTTCTCTTCTCTCTCTCTCTCGTCTTCTCTCTCTCTCTCTCTCTCTCTCTTTCTCTCTCTCGCCTCTCTATTCTCTCTCTCTTCTCTCTCCTCTCTGTAATCACTAATTTGTGCTTGCGGGGGTTGAGCTCTGGCTCTTTGGTCCCGCCTCTCAACCGTCAAGTCAACAGGTGGACAGGATTCCTGAGCCTACTGGGCTCTATCATATCTACACTTAAAACTGTGTATGAAGTCAGCCTCCACCACATCATTGCCTAATGCATTCCACCTGTTAACTACTCTGACACTGAAAAAGTTCCTTCTAACGTCTCTGTGGCTCATGTGGGTACTCAGTCTCCACCTCTGTCCCCTTGTTCGCGTACCACCCATGTTAAACAGTTTATCATTATCTACCCTGTCAATTCCTTTGAGAATTTTGTAGGTAGTGATCATGTCTACCCTTACTCCTCTGTCTCCCAGTGTCGTAAGGTGCATTTCACGCAGCCTTTCCTCGTAACTCATGCCTCTGAGTTCTGAGACTAGCCTAGTGGCATACTTCTGAACCGTACCTGTGTGTGGGTGTGTGTGTGTGTATGTGTGTGTGTGTTTTTTGTGTGTGTGTGTATGTGTGTGTGTGTATGTGGTGTGTGTGTGTGTGTGTGTGTTGTGTGTGTGTGTGTGTGTGTGGTGTGTGTGTGTGTGTGACGTAAGTAGCTTCGAAGTACTCACCGAGTCATGACAAGTTGTGTTTGTGTTTGTGTAAACTCATGCAGTATGTTTACAACTGTATTAAACCTATAAGGCACAGTGTGTAACACTTTGTATAAACGGAAAAAAATACATAATGTGTTTAACCTTCTGCATACAGTTAGACCTAGCTTAGGTGTAGTTAGATTTCACACACAGGCCTAATTTAGCTTCAGTTTTGGTACACAATTACACTTAAGTTATGTTTACATAGGTTTAGCACACAGACCTATGATAGATTAAGTTTTGTAAACAGACTTAGGATAAGTTCTGTTTAGTTATTTTACTTAAGCTTTAGACATATGAAAAAGTAAATGTAGCCTATTCGTTCAAGTGTACTTACAATACATGTTTAAGATTACTTAAAAATTCGACTTTGGTTTACATAAGTTAATACAATACTGTAGACTACATCCAGCGTGTTGTAGTGCAACAGTCACTTCTGAACACCTCTACACTTATCTGTGAGGGAGTGTTATCTCCTCACTACCTCAGGAGATAGTGAGGAGTTACAGAGAAAGTGAGTAAGGAAAAGTAAGAGATAGAGGAGAAGGGAAGTAAGAGAGAAGGAATGGGAGTAAGAAGGGGGAAGAAGAAGAGGGGTAGAGAGAGAGGAGTGCCAGCAAAGTAAGATTTAAGAGTGAGGAGAGTGCCAAAGAGTGCCAAAGAGTGCCAAAGAGACGAGAGGAAGCAAATAGTGGGCCGAGTGTAGCGACCTATGTAACTGTCTACCTGTTGACGGTGTGTGTGTGTGTGTGTGTGTGTGTGTGTGTGTGTGTGTGTGTGTGTGTGTGTGTGTGTGTGTGTGTGTGTGTGTGTGTATTCACCTAGTTGTGTTTGCGGGGGTGTGAGCTTTGCTCTTTCGGCCCGCCTCTCAACAGTAGTGTGTGTGTGTGTGTGTGTGTGTGTGTGTGTGTGTGTGTGTGTGTGTGTGTGTGTGTGTGTGTGTGCGCGCGCGCGTGTGTGTGTGGGTGGGTGCACATGACGTCATCACGCCCCCATACCCAAAACAACCATAAATTGACTGTTCTCCAAAAATTATAATAATTATCAATAATAAAATCCCTATGAATACAAGCCCAGAGTTTACCCTGCAGAGGCTCTCAAAATAGCAAGATCTGAACGGTGGAATTCAGAGCAAACTACAATCAGAACAATATACAATCAGAAGATACAATCAGAGCCAACTATCCCTGCAGAAGAGAGCCAATGAGTACATTTTAATCTTTATTTATATATATATAAATATATATATATATATATATATATATATATATATATATATATATATATTATATTATATATATATATATATATTCTTGTACAGCCACTAGTACGCGTAGCGTCTCGGGCAGGTACTCACCTAATTGTACTCACCTAATTGTGCTTGCGGGGGTTGAGCTCTGGCTCTTTGGTCCCGCCTCTCAACCGTCAATCAACTGGTGTACAGATCAGGTCCTTAATCCTAATTGTTCCCCGGAATACGACCTGCCAAATCGTTTAGTAACAACCAGATACCCATTTTACTGTTGGGTAAACAGAGGCTACAGTTAAGGATTGGCGCCCAGTCAATCCTCCCGGGCCAGGATACGAACCCAGGTCAAAGCGCTGGCGAAACGCCAGGCGAGTGTCTTACCATTACGCCACGGGGACACGACTACCAGTCCAGACAAGATGGTGTAGAAGTGTAATAGCACTTACGTTGATTAGTGAATGCACTGAGTGTGTGGTGGGGGTCGTAAGAGTGCCCTGAGTGTGTGTTGGGGTCGTAAGATTGTACTGAGTGTGTGCTGGGGTCGTAAGCTTGTACTGAGTGTGTGCTGGGGTCGTAAGATTGTACTGAGTGTGTGCTGGGGTCGTAAGATTGCCCTGAGTGTGTGCTGGGGTCGTAAGATTGCACTGAGTGTGTGCTGGGGTCGTAAGATTGCCCTGAGTGTGTGCTGGGGTCGTAAGATTCCACTGAGTGTGTGCTGGGAGTCGTAAGATTCCGTTCTGTGTGTGTTGGAGTACGAAAGCTAACAAATGGCTCAGAAGGAACAGCATTAGGCAACTGGTGACTGAAAGAAGGGGCTAAGGAGCTGAAACTTGCCCTCTGCCGGTACATATAGGTAAGTACATGTAGGAGAGAACACACCCACACATATACCAAACGACGCTTTCCAAAATTCTGCGAAAAATCAGGAATTTGTTACTTTGTGTAAATTTAGCAAAAGTGTTTGTCTGGTGTGTTTGTTTGCTTGTTTGTTTGTCAGGTGTGTTTGTTGAGAGATTATCTGTCGATGTTTTGCTTGTCAAGCGAATCTGTCTGTAAACTGTGTTTGTTTGGGGTGTTTGCCGGAAGTATTTGTCCGGACTCTGGTTTCCTTGTTTGATCACGAGGAACCGGTTGGATTACAACCCCCCACAGTGGACGCTGGATAAGAATCAGGTCAAAGGTTACGTCCAGGACACCGTCACTGATAAGAGAGGGCGCCACCAGCGTTCAATTACCTGTCACATAGTATCATTTCTAAAGCTAAGCAAATTATGTTTACCTCAGTTCTGAAATGGAAATAATCAGCGGTTAACTCATACAAACCTACTTACTAACGTCGTGAGACAGACACACACACACACACACACACACACACACACACACACACACACAAACAGGACAGGAGTCATTACTGTAAACAACCGATGGCTCGAAAGGCGAGATCCAAGAGTCAATGTTCAATCCTACAGGCACAAATAGGCGAGTACAAACAGGTGAGTCCACCCCCCCCCCCACACACACACACACAGTTGAGTGTGCGCACGTGCGTGTGTGCGACGCTGGAGAAGCGGCAACATTGTAGCGAATACGTCGATACGATCCCAGATAACGAGGTGCGCGCCAATGGTACTCCCGCGCCCTTGATGGGCTGATTCAAGAGTCCCGCTCATTCATAATTTACAACCCAGCCTTTGCCCCTTATTGTAATCTCTATCCTGCTTCATTCATCCTTCATCCATTCATTCATCAATATATAAACATATTAAGTCAATATATAAGTTGCCTAAACAACCGAATTCTAATAGGATATTATGTTTTTCGAAAATAATTTTCTTATGGACTCATAAAGCTTTTAAATTCCATTATATATGATTTTTTTTTTTACTTTGTAGTTGAAACTAGTATAGAAATTTGTTCAAACCTAATCCAACTCACCTAACCTATCCTTATCTAACATAGCCTAACATGTCTAAGACTAATATTAATATCTAACATATCTAATTCATGTACCTAATATAAAGTTATTATTGTTAGAAATTAATCAATCTGGGAAAGATATATATTTGAAAATACCGAAAAATCTTTCGGCCTGTTAGGCAAATCGGACCTT